CCCCAAAACCCCAAAACCCCAAAACCCCAAAACCCCTTTTAAATACAAAAAGGTTGAGTTTGAACATACTTGACAGCAAATAACAAAATTAGCCTCTTAATAAAGGTTCCCTCAGGTTTACTCTGTCAAACTGGTTGATATTCAGGCTCTGAACCCCCTGGCTTGGCTGGGGAATCCTCATCATTTGAGGTGCGTTTCCTAACGCCTGACTGCTGACGCCTCTAAATATATTCTCTTCAGACACAACTCTGTCATTCAGAGGGTTTAATGACTGATACATATTATCAGGTGGAGGAGGTAAATCCTTCGGTGTATTTTTACAAACCGGTCAAGTTCCCTCAATCTCTAGCCACAGCTGAGAACATTTGAGGTGAAAGACATGGTTGCAGCCTGGATACACTCTAACCCTTTCACCCACCAAGAAGTCATTGATACATATGACGCATCGAGTGTCAAGATGGCTAGGGCTACTATAGGGAATTGTCTTGAACCTCACAATTTCATTATCAGTGAGTCCATAATTCATGAAGTAAATCCCATATTCATTAAGGATCTGGATCATCTCGTTTCTTTTGGAGTTCTCATTCATAATGTTAGCACGGGAGTTTTCCAATAACTCATTGTCTTCAAAATCAATCTTCCTTAGCAAAGTGATGATGTTCTTCTGCAGAGCCTTTGTCTTGCTGGCGGTAACCAAGTAGGTAGCAAAGAGCATGATTGCATACAGAACCCATAAGAAGGTCAGAATAATCCAGAACAGGATGAAGGAGTATTCTTGAAAACTCACAAAGCAACTTGGCGTCTCCTGGTAGCTCACAGAGAACCAGATAATTCCTGTACAAGTCCAGATTATAAATATTGGGAATAGTATAATTACTGTAATAAAGCTGATTGCCTTCAGAATTCTTGCGTTCTTCCAGTTGAAACTTATATTAGTCCTGGCCTGAGGACTAGCCAAATCTTGATTGTAGATAAAAGAATTGCTTTCACTTAAAAATTGCCCAATATAGTGTAGCACACGGATGCTTACAGTAAGGGAATATGACACTCACAGCCATGTGTTCATGGGAAAACTACAGCTCATATAATTTTCCCAATTAAGCACCAAGTCAGGAATCGCGTAAGCGATAGATGCGAATATCATAATATCGAATCAATTTATCTTAAAAGCCATGGTAGTAGGTAAATTGATTCTTTTCAATAATTATATAAAATGTTGGGGTTTTGGGGTTTTGGGGTTTTGGGGTTTTGGGG